TCTTGACTGTAAAGGACATTTACTGTGAATGTTGACTCACACACCTCGAAAGTCACTGATCACAGGATCAAATGAGTTTGCAACATTAACTCTAGTTTATTAAGGGTATGAGCAGCACTGGTGACCCTTTTTCATAACTACTCTGGTCTTTGATGTTTTCTTTATGGATTCTGTCAATCCTCTATTCATTTAAAATTTTTTTTTGGAGAGCTTCTTGGCCATGTTCCAAGCACGCATCCACTTACTGGTTACTTTTGATCTGTACATTGTCTGTGTGTACATGAAACATGCTTCTTTGTTTAATAAGAGTTGTCTGTGTCACAACATACAGCTTTTACCTGTTAATGTCTCTTGTAATCGCTCATTCATTCACTCACCCTGCAGGGATGACTATAATAATGAATAGATGCTTTCAGCAGAGCTTTGGCAAAAAGCAAGGAGATCTCTGAGAAAGGTGGCATTTTTCTTGGGAAATTAGAAAAGACTTCAAAAATGAGGAGACATTTGAGCCGGCCTTACAGGATGAACCTAGAATTCATCAAGCAGAGAATAGATGTCTATTTCAAAGATAAATCTTATATCAAAGATTAGATGAGAATCTGTCGTATTTCTGTGTCTCAAGGAGTCCATAGTACCATGGCCTGAAACTAAGGGTGCCATTGCTCAATGATTAAAGACTGTCACAGGCACGTTTAGAAACATAATTTCTCCCCAAAGAGGAAAACAAATCAGAGAGTGAAATATTCCATAATATTAAAGCGTTAAAAAACAAGACGATAGGCCCCAAATGGAGTCACTTATGCTAAGCCCCATGTCACCAAAAAGAGACTTAATTACAGTTCCAGCTCTCCCAAAAATGGAATCTTAAACCACTCAATCAGGAACTGCTAGATCAGCACTAGTTAGGTCATCTGCCTGTTAGACCCTTGCCATCCCATAGAGGAAAGTAACCTTGCAGTAACTAACCTGCTTTTTTGCTTAGTATAAATTCATTGTTCCCCCTCCCTTCCGCCTATAAAAGTCTTTCATTTTGTATAGTTCCTCGGAGCTCCTTTCTATCTGCTGGATTGAATGCTGTTGGATTCGTATAGATTTGGGCTTAAATAAACTCTTAAATTTTTTAATATGCCTCGGTTTATCTAACAGTTTGCATGCAGTTAGTCATGTAAAATGTCAAAGCAGGCCAAAAAAACTAAAAAAAAAAAAAAAAAACCCATACATGAATCAGGAATTCATTTCATTCTAGCCCAGTGATTCTCAACTGGGGGCAATTTTGCCCCCCAGGAGACATTGGGCAAATGTCTGGAGACATTTTGGGTTGTCATGTCTGTGGAGTATGTGACTACTGGAGACCAGGGATGATGCTAAACACCCTACAGTGCGCAAGACAGCTCCCCACAACAAAAAATGGTCCAATCCAAAATGTCAACAGTGCAGAGGATGAGAAGCTCCGTTCTAGTCCATGCTGTGTGGCTTAGTGTACATTTATGTAAACTAGTGTGATTTCATTTGCAGAATGGAAATCAGTCCTGCTCAGCTCTTTGTTCCTTAGACAGTTTAAATGATGACTTGTAAGATTTACCTTGTCCCACCCTCACTGCTGCACAGTTCCATCTATAAACAAGGCCCTCATGAATTTAGAACACTGTGCAAACTCATGTGAATTTAATAACTTTAGTTGAGGGAAAATAAGATAAGAATCAAAGTGTGGGGAGAGGACATCATGGCTCCACAGCTGTGGGCCCGTCACTGTCAGTCCAACATAAATATTTATGACAGCACATTCCACCATGAGTGCATTCTTCTAGAAGAGAATTGTTTCATCCTGCTGTAAGCAGAAGCAAGGTTTTCTGAATACAGCATGTATAATTTGAAATGACTAGTCCTACATTTGTGCCAGGTAGAAATGGTCAGGAATTTAATATTCAGTCAGCAAACATGCAAAGAACAGGGGATTGAGAACAAGACTGTCTTTGTCTAAAACTATATTTTTCAGTTTGGTAGCCACTAACCCTATGTAGTTGTTGAGTACTTGAAATGTGAGTCCAATTGAGATGTGCTATAAATGTAAAATACACACTGGATTTCAAAGACTTATTCAAGAAAAAAGAATGCAAAATGTCTCAATAATTTGTATTTTGATTATAAGTTGAAATGATAATTTTTGGATATATTTGGTTAAATAAAATATATTAAAAATTTTACCCATTTTTTATTTTTTAGTGGGGCTACTAGAAAATTTAAAATTATGTATATATGATATATACTATTATATATGTATTATGTATTTCTATTGGACAGCACTGCTCTAAAAGCACACTTTTCTGTCATTATTTTTTAATCTTATTGTCATGCTCATGAAAAGACCTTAGAGTTCAGATTTCTAACAGGCGTGTCCTTCAATCACCAGGCCACATTGAGTGATTTCAATGTGGCTAAACCTTGAAATCACCTTGGAGAGCTGTTAAAAAATACTAATGCTTGGACATCCGTAGACAAAAACAAAACAAAAAAACCTATACCTAAATCCCACATCTTATATAAAAATTAACTCAAAATAGATCATAAGTTTAAACATAAAAGGTAAAACTATAAACTTTTAGAAGAAAACATAGGGGAAGATCTTCAGGATCTAGGGCTAGGCAGCAAGTTCTTAGACTTTATACCAAAAGTACAATCCATAAAAGGAAAAATGGATAAATTGGACTTCATCAAAATTAAAAGCTTTTGCTCTCTAAAAGCCCATGTGCAGAGGATAAGACAAGCTACAGACTAGGAGAAAATATTGGCAAACCCCTTATCTAACAAAGTATCTAGACTATCTAGAGAATGCTCAAACTCAACAATAAAAAAAACAAATAATATAATTAGAATATGGGCAAAAGATATAAACAGATATTTCACAGAGGAGGATATACAGATGGCAAATAAGCACATGAAAAGATGTTCAACATCATTAACCATTAGGAAAATGCAAATTAATACCAGTGCACTTGAATCTACAATTATGTCAATACAAATGTCAATTTTAAAAAGTCTAACACTATGCCCTCCCATCCCCCCACTCCTCTAGACTCTGATTTAAATGGTCTGGACTGTGGCCTTGGCATTGAGAGTTTAAAATCTCCCTCTCGTGATTTTAATGTGCAGCCAAGGTTAAGAACAATTCTTCTGGGATAAAGAGTATAGCTTAATAGGAATTTATAAAATAAAGCCTGAAGGCAGGTGAGGGAAGGTGCTGACTCTGGGCTTTCTGATTGAGGGTTATCGTCACACTCAATCCCCAAAGAAGAGAATGCTGCTCGTTCTCAGGATGTTTTATGTTCCAGCATAATGTCTAGCCGGAGATCCAGCTATTTCTATTCACTGAAAAGAACAGGATTTGGGCAAATTGACCAGGTGCATGAAACTGTGATGCCTTCCTATATTCTCTCTCCTTCCCCCATTAACTTCCCTTTCAATCTTTTAGGCTACTCATTTTCAAATTTGTCTGCCTATTGGATTCACCTGGAGAGCTTATAAAATGTCAATACCTGGGTCCCGCTCCTGGAGATTCTTATTTCATTGGTATGGAGTGTGGCCTGGGTATCAGGACTTTCTTAAAATCTCCCCAGGGATTCTAATATACAGTGAAGGGGAGCAGAATATGCCACCCCAAGATGCGCCTCTTTGGCATAAAGATTATTTCGAGCTCATTATTTTGAGCAACAGCAGAAACAGGAGAAACTCTAAAAACTGAGCAGAAGTCATCCTTTTTTTAAGGGTATTTACATTTATAAGGGAAATCTCCTTTTGTAAGAGTGTCTCCATCTTTGTACCAGGAAGAGGAGGATGATTCTAAATCTCTAGAAACTCTCATCAGTGGAGAAGGCAGGACTTAAATCTACACAACAACCTTATCCTTATTTACTGTGCTTTTCCCGGTCACCTCTCATAACTGGCATCTCCCCCCACCTCCAACTTTTCTTTCTTTTGTCTTGAACTGAAGATGGTATTGAAGGCGAGGGCTTGGGCCATTTGGAGGCCATCTTGAGGAGTTCTCATTTTTCTTTGGTATTTCCCATGTATACATGAGGTATACATGTTAATAAACTTCTGTTTGTGTTTCTCTTGTTAATCTGTCTTTTATTACAGGAGTCTCAGCTAAGAACTCAGAAGGGTGGGGGGAATTATTTTTCCCCTCCTACAACAACAAAATTTGAAGACCACTGTTTTAGGCCACTGGCTCTCAACCTTGCCTGCCAGTTAGAATTACCTGGGGTAGCTTTTAAGTATTCTGATGCCTGATATTCAAAGACCCTGATTTAATTGTTCTGGAGTGTGGCCAGGTCATGGGGATTTTTAAAGCTCCCCAAGTGCTTCTAGCTTGTAGTCAAGATTGAAAACCACTAGTTTAGGCATCCATCCTCCCTTATCTTCAACAGGGATATCAGCTGTGTTTCTGGACACAGATATTTAGTGGGATTCAAGATTGAATGTTTTAATAGGTAAGATAAAATTTTATAGGTTATGGGGTGGGGAGAGTCCCGTTTAGTTTCTCAAAAGTTGTTGATTACTTCATCTGGGTTTTTTGGGGGTTTTTTTTGGTGAGGAAGATTGGCCCTGAGCTAACATCTGTTGCCAATATTCCTCTTTTTGCTGAGGAAAATTAGCCCTGAGCTAACATCTGTGCCATCTTCCTCTATTTTGCATGTGGGACACAGCCACGACATGACTTCATGTGCGGTGCATAGGTCCACCCCTGGGATCTGAACCTGTGAACCCCGGGCCACTGAAGTAGAGTATGTGAACTCAACCACTACACCACTGGGCCGGCCCTACTTCATCTGTTTTTAAGGCTAGGAAACCTTTTACACTTAGCCTCATTACCAGTGCACAGCACAATATCATTTTTCCTTGCAACATAGATTTGTCTACCCTGAGCCTGGTACCACACAAATGGGTTTCTTCTACCCGGTGTGCATAAAAAAGCCAATTATTATGGCATCAATTTTTGGGAAAAGAAAACAGCTTTGTTGCTAGATCAAACTGTGGCAAAGGTGGCATATGTTCTCAGATCTGTCTCGTGATCCAGGGCTTGTGGCAAAACTTATGGGATGAAGGACAGGGCAGTCTGAAGTGTGGAGATAGATGATTGGAGGTAAGAAGAAGTGAGGTAATTGATGATCTGCACAAGCGTGGTCTAGCTTCATGGCTCTTCATAGGATGCATGTTCACAAAATGGTGGTGTTAGTATGATCTGAGGGTGGAGTCTTCAGCCCTTTGTTGTCAAAAGGGTCACTTATTGGGCATTTGTGCAGGCCCCGTTGATGGGTTGGTGGTCTAGCTGGTGCAACTGGACAAGGGGGGGGGACTCTCAGTTCCTGAAACACAACTCTTAATTACTCTGTTGATAAGACAGGGCCAATTGAACTAGTCCTGGTAGGCCCATGGGGTTACAAGCCCACAAGACCCTTTCCAACCACCCATCCAACTGCCATATAAATTGCCTAAGCCAGTGGTTCTCAAAGTTTGCTGCATATTAGAATCTCTGGAGACTTTTTAAAAATACCAATGCCTGGGCCATACCCCCAGACAGTCTGATGTAATTGGTCTGGGGTGCAACCTGGGCACTGGGATTTTTTAGAGTCTCCACCAATGCTAATGTTCAGCTAAGTTTGAAAACCACTGGCCCAAGTGGTATTTTATTTAGTGATGGGAAACCGACTTTTGTGCCAAAAGATCCTAACAAAAATAGTCAACAATGTAAGCAGGCATGTAGAATGTGTCTTCTGTTCAACCTAAGGACTCATACAACGTGGTGAAGTGTTTGCAAGCGCAAAGGAGAATGTTTGTAGATGAATCATTATTGGGAACACAGTATTCCTAATCCAAATGGCCCCCTCCCATAGCTAAAACCCCTACCATGTATCAGTCTCTTGTGTGAACTATGCAGAGTTCATGGGCATGCCAGTTCTACAGATGTGCTGAAGAGAAAGTAGCTCCTATGCAAAATAGTGACTCAACTCATCAACTCTCTACCTCCTGGTGGGCAAACGTTACACCAACATCAAATGCAAATTAAAGGTAAACTAATTTAAGTACTAACTGCCTCTATCTTATCTCCTGAGGGGGTTAGTGTTTGTGATCGCACCTCCAAAGCAGTGTGCCACCTGCAGACTGTCATTTTCATCAGATGTGCATAATTACATTAACTCATTTTGAAGTTACCCACCTGCATTCATTTCCAGATTCCACAGCAGTGGAAGACATTTTCCCAAATATCCTTTCCACCCCCTTTCAGAAGGCACTTTGTTTCACGATGAGCATCTGAGAGGAGTCACCACCCCTGGCAGCAATCTTTAGGGAGATTTGGAAAAGAAGCTTAAATAAATGTTACAAGAGAGAATCATATGTTTTGTACTATGATTAAAAGTCCATCGCTTGCTGAAAGGGATGAGTGCCAGAAGATGAGTCACACCGACGGGGGGAGTGGGATGTTAATAGCAAGGAACAGCATGTAACAGGGGCCTCAGAACTGTGGCTTAGAGGCAGGCAAATAAGTGGGATGAAAGCTTGTTGCTCCAGATTTTCTTGGGCTGAGCAATCTGGAAGCAAACATGCAAAACATCTGGGAGATACTGTGGTGGTTTGGCCCAGCTGAGCCCACTGGAATCTCTTTCCACATGTAGACGGAGATGTGGAGTCAATAAAAATGTGGGTTAGAATGAAAATTGGTATTTCTAAACTTCCCATTGGTTCTATATGGTTCTTTTCCTACACAAGAGGCAGTCTGTCCTGGGGTAAAGAGATTACTAAACCAGGGAGTAGAACAACTCTGTTATGTTCAGCCTAAAAGCTCAGTAGATTCTGCCTTTAAAACTGTGTATCCAGGTCATGGCCAGAAACAGAGAGACAAGAAGCAATTGCATTTCATTATGCACACTGGCGTTTCCAGACAGTGTTTCAAATTCCAGTAAAATTAAAAATCTATACAAGTTGTTCTCACACTTCAGTGTGCATCAGAATCCCCTGGAAGGCCTGTTAAAACACACCTCCAGCGTTTCTGGTTTTGCAGGCTTGGGATGGAGCTTGAGAATTTGTATCTCTACAAGTTCCCAGAAGATGCTGATAGGCCAGGAACCCACTCTGAAAGCCACTGCTGTGAGAATAACTTCTGGGTATTTTTTAACTTTAAAGGATAACTTACACATGACTCTGAGGACTTATACCCAAGAACCTCTTTCTTTATAGATATTTGGATCCCTAGTAGGTCACATTAGCGTGGGATTTGGAGTCACATGGAAGATGCTGACTTTGGATGCCCATGATGTGACATGTGTGACAGGAACTTCTGGTTTCACATACAAAACAACAGCTGACGGCAAAACAAGAAAAACTGTTGGGAGCGTAAAGGGAAATACCAAACCCCAAATGCAGAAAGCAGAGTGTGTATATGTGTCTGTGTGCTGAGGGGAGGTGGGGGAGACTGGGAAGATGAAGGAAAGTTATTTTGTGGATGAGATGCTCATCTTTAATATGGATGACAGACCAGCCTTGAGGGACTAAGCAGGAGGGTTTTGGTTATTTATTTACTAATTTCATGATTATTATTGTCCACACGGTGCACAAGGTTGTGCTGAGTTATACATCTGAAAGAATATCCTAGTTGGGAGGTTTGTGATGTTGGGATATGGTGCCGGTGGAGGTGGAGTTCATCTTCTCCGATGATTTAAATTTGGGACTTGACCATTGCTTATTGGTCAGCTAGGGCTAGTTTTAGGTAGATTCTACTAGATACAGGAGAATGGATTTAATGACATCTCAGGCTCCATTTCTTCTTTATGTAAAGAAAGTATGTAAAGAAAAATTAGTGCTTCAATGGGAAGTTATGCATTGTCTACATCTCGCCCTTCCCCGTTATCTCTTTCTGAGTCTATGAAAGCTATTTTACAACTCTAAACTGTAGATAACTGATAGCAAAATAATTCTTGCCTATAGACATGCAAATTCTGTCCCATGAAGGTTTCATCAACTTCCCTCCCCAACTGGAAGAAAGAAGCTGGTTTTGTCTCTACAATTCTGCAATACCATTCTGATGCTAACCACCTGGAAGTGCAGACTCTACAGGTTAAGGGTGAAATTGAGAACTAAGGAGTTAAAAAATCTTCCCTAGAGCAAAAACTTTAAGATAAGCTTTGCTAACTGCAGCTGTACATATTCAACATAATCAACTATTGTTCAAAACTAACCAAGTCTTTCTGTCCCTCCTTAGTATATGAGTGACCTGTCTTTCCTAGAAATTCAAGGTCCAGATGTCAAGATTCAGTATTCAAGGCCAAAAGCAGGCTGACGGGAAGGCACTAACCCACAAGGTCATATGCTTCCCTTCTCCTACCTAAAACCCCAGATAAAAACCGTTTTCCTTTCAGGGAGGTGGATCTGAGTTCTAACTCCCATCTCCTTATCTGGCTGCCTTTCAATAATAGTAAACCTCTTTCCTTGCCACAAGCCTGGTGTTTCAGTTTTTTTTTTTTCAGTTATTAGCCCTACTGTGCAATGGGTAAATGAACCTGTATTTATGTTTGGTAACAATTTGGAGAGCCTGCCAGGAGGCTCTTTGCCTATGGCTCTGTGGCCCCAGGCTGACTGGAATTTCCTGGGAAGCAGTCCAGCAGCTGCCTAGGTTATTTGCCCTAGGGACTGTCCCCAGTACTTTCCATCTGACCTGACACTGCTATCCCTAGGCACATTTTTCTTGTGGCAAGGAAACAGGCTCTAGATTTGTTGTTTGTTTGTTTTTGCTTCCAGTGAGTCGACAGGCTCAATCTGGAGTAGGGTAAGTTGTCACAGCCAGACATGTGTGAACTCCCTGTCTCTTGCTGGGGAAATCCCTGAAGGATATCCCCATCTGAGTCTGGGTGCTGACTAATGAGAGACATAGTGTAGGACTACTCAGAATCTTTTGGGTGCACCTGTCTGTTCTGTTTGGGATCCTGTCTGGCTGTCTGTTCTCTCTGGGATCCTGGCTAGCTATCAGTTCTGTATGTTTATAATTCTGAAATGAGAGGAACTCCATCTGTCCCCAAGAAGAGACCTCTGGGCCGCCTCTTGGCTAAATGGGCTGATTTCAGCTATGAGCCCATGTCCAAGAAGAAGATGGTTTTCTTTTGTAACACCAAGTGGCCACAATATTCTTTAGACCCGAGAGAGAAAATGACCAAAAGGGGGCAATTTCAGTTTACCCAAATGGGTGTATTCACATATACAATTGGAAAAAGCCAGCTTTAAATTAAACAACCAATGGGAAGCCTAATATAATCTTTTGAGGCTTCTAAATGAAATCAAGAATACTTTACTGCCTCTTTAAAAAATTAATTAAATAATTAAACATGCCAGATTAGGGGATGTCAGTGGCCCTGCTGGGGAAACAAAACTTCTCACAATGGAATGCAGTGTTTGATTAATATACAGAAACTTCTAAAAGACAAAGTTATTTAACATGATATAAAATGATCTTTGGTAAATAAAACCTTGTTTAAGTTGTTGCTTTGATTGCAACAAACATGTTTTCAGAGTTATCAATACTGGATATGATAGACATGTTATCTCTGTTACAAAATTTGTCAGCAAAAAAATAATAACTTGGAATAATAGCTGATTTTGTGTCTCATGACAGTTTTTTAGACAATCTAAATATAATTATTGTGAACAAGTAAACTAAATAGACATAAAAAGGATAAAAGCTTTTAGAGGAACTTTTAACAATAATTATGTGTTATGGTGTATGTACTTAAAACAACTCAAGATGATGGCTAACTACTTTAATGACACATGAAGTTTTTGTGAGTAATCTAAACAATTGTTGGAAACAAGATAAAATATTAGAAATTGATTACTAAGCATAGGTTTGTCTGCCTCTGGTTTCTTATCTCAGAAAAACTAAAAGATGCTTAGGTTTATTGATAAACATGTTTTGTACATGCTGAAAAATTTTCTATGAGAAAGCCCATATTTCTAGAAAGTCTGCATACAAGGAAACTAAAATGTATGTTTTCAGTAAAGAAAATATAAAGAATAGAGATAGTTTTGTTTGTTTTGTTAAGAAAGATAAATTTGTCCTAAAGTACTAAGAAAGGAAAAAAGGAAACAAAGCATGGGACAAATTCTGAATGTAAAAAGCAAGTAAAAGAAGGTTTGTGAAAGTAAAACCCTGAGGAGTTTTGTGCGTGGTCAAGTCGGCTAAGATTGAAATGAATTTAAGCCAGTGCAAAATTAGAATTTGGCTTTCTCTCTTAAAAAGATAATTCTCTTGAACTTTTGGTCTGCTATTGATAAAGATGTTATAAAAGGTTTTTCTTCGCCTTTGAGTAAGTCTACCTAAAAGAGAAAATCTATGTTTTGTTAAAATAATTTCCTATGTTCAAAAAGACTGATGTGTCTCTATTAAGGTTTTTTTTTTTACTGTTTTAACTCTCTGTTTGCCTTTGACATCTTCTGTTGTCACTTCGATTGAATGGATAACTAAGCATTGTTTCTGATTTGACCAAATGTTTTAAAAATTTTGATATTTTTGACAAAGTTCTCCCAAAATTAAAGTCTTTCTTTTGACTTAAAAAGAAACTTTAAGAATTTCCAATCAGCCCTGAGACTTCTCAAGGAATTTGTTCTCTCTTTTTACAAAGAGGAAGATATTAAACTAATTAGACTTATTTGGTATGTTAAATTATATGGGAAACATTATCAAATAAAGGATAATAAGTCTTCCTAGGTTATATTGTGTGGGTAAATGTTATTAATATAAGTGGTTAAAAATACGTATATATAACATTCCAAAAATTCCAATTTGTCCTGGTTGTCAGTCATAATTCAAGTTATTATCTCAAAGTGTTGTATGTCACAAAAATAGCCAAATGTCTTTGTCAATTGCCATTTTTGAGTGTTTTTTCATTTGTAGATGGGGTTTTACTCATCTTCGGAGAGGTTCATGGAAAAGACTCTGACACTTGCTCTACAATGCAGGCTTCTGATAAACTTTCAGATTATGAAACTGAGTTGGGTAAGAAATTATAAAATTGTAATTGAGAAACTGATGGCCTCATGAAACTGCTAACAGAAGGTCAGTAATTAATTACATGGGACTAAATAAATTAATGAGGATGGTTATAATTTTTATGACTTTTTTGTTTGAAATATTGTTAAATTTTTTTGGGGGGGGAGAAGACATGAAATTGTCTTTATTTGCAGATGACATGATTGTTATGTAGAAAAATCTAATAGAATTGAGAAAAAAAAACCCTCCTGGAACTAATAAATGATTATAACAAGGTTGCAGGATATAAGGTTAATATACAAAAGTCAATTGCTTTCCTATGTACCAAAAATGAACAACTGGAAAAAAAATGAACAATTGGAATTTAAAATTAGAAACAGAACACCGTTTATATTAGCACCCTAAAACTGAAATGCTTATGTATAAATCTAACAAAATATGTACATGATCTATACGAGGAAAACTACAAAAGTATGATGAAACAAAATCAGAGAAGACCTAAATAAATGGAAAGATATTCCATGCTCATGGATAGGAAGACTCAATATTGTCAAGATATCAGTTCTTCCCAACTTGATCTATAGATTCAGTGCAATCCCAATCAAAATCCCAGCAAGTTATTTTGTGACTATTGATAAACTGATTTTAAATTTTATATGGAAAGGCAAAAGACCAAGAATAGCCAACACAGTATTGGAGCAGAAGAACAAAATTGGAGGACTGATACTATGCAACTTCAAGACTTTCTATAAAGCCACAGTAATCAAGACAAAACTGGCATTAGTAAAAGAATAGAACAGAATAGAGAGTCTAGGAATAGACCCCCAGAAATATAGTCAACTGATCTTTGACGAAGGCACAAAGGCAATTCAATGGAGAAAGAATGGTCTTTTCAACAAATTGTGCTGAAATAATGACATCCACATGCAAAAAAATCAATATGGGCACAAGACTTATGCCTTTCACAAAAATTAACTCAAAATGGTTCATAGACGTAAATGTAAAATGCGGCTTTGGAAGGTGGGGCCAACCTCCTATGTGGCTCTTTAAGAAGCACAAGTCTTCTGCAGCTGACAAGCCCCACCACCCACAGGTCCACACACACAGTCAACACAGTCCTGCTCCGTGCACACACCCCGACCTCCTGAAGTGGACCCAGTCTCTCCAAGGCAGGAGCCCCACACACTCCACCACTGCCCCACACTCTCCATTTGCTCTTTGCACACACCTGCCCTACAGAGGCGGACCCAGTCGCCAGGATGTGGAGAATCTAGGCAGTTCCCTTAGCAGGCCCACAAGTTGCCCGAGGGCTTGTTGTTGGGTGGGGCCAGTCCCTAGGGTGGGCTGCCTGACCTGGCTGAGCAGGATTAAATCGCTGCTCTAGTGGGTGGGGCAGACCCTGGGCTAGCATGCCCCAGGGAGAACTCCAATGGCATCTGCCAGCGTCTGTGTCAGCACGCCCACACCAGGTCGTAACAATGGCCACTGCCAATGTCCCAGTCCCTGGAGAGGTCTCACCTCTCACGAAGATGCACTCAGAGCCTTTCAGGTGAGTCTCTTTTCCCCAAAGGGCCATGCACCTTTCTTTCTGCTGATTTTAGGTTGCTTTCCGAAACGGGTGAGTTTGTGCATGGGCCCTTTAAGAGCCGGTTTTAATTTCTTTGTGTGCCAACTTCTCTGGGGGTACTCCCCAATGTTTAGTAGCAAGCAAAGTCAGATATTATGCCACTCGTCTTGATTGTGCTGAGTCCAAAAAATGCCTACAGCAGGGGCGCTCCCCGGCTCAGGGCTCTGCTCCTCCAGGGAGGGCTGTGTACCTTTGGGCTGCTCCGGGCAGCCATGAGGTGCTGCAGCTTGTGAAGGCGGCGTTTTTCCTCTCCAGAAGGGAATTTCTGTCTATTCCACCTCAATTAGGATTGTCGTTTGTTGCAGGAGGTCCTCTTATCCAGTTTTCAGTTCTCTCTCAGGGGTAATTTGTCCAAGAGTAGTTGTAAATTGGCTGTGTCTGCAGGAGGAGGTGAGTTCAGAGTCTGCCTACGCCTCCATCTTGACTTCTCCTCTTGCCGAATTTTTAATGTTTTGTTTTTCTAGGTTTAAGGAAACCCTTTTCTCTTAAGGAAGTATGACATAGCAATTTTTGTGTGTGTGAGGAAGATTAGCTGTGAGCTAACATCTGATGCCAATCCTCCTCTTTTTGCTGAGGAAGATTGGCCCTGGGCTAACATCCATGCCCATCTTCCTCTACTTTATACGGGATGCCACCACAACATGGCTTGACAAGCGGTGAGTCGGTGTGTGCCTGGAATCTGAAGCTGGGAACCCTGGTCCGCTGAAGTGGAGTGCATGCACTTAACCCCTACGCCACCAGGTCGGCCCCTGACATAGCAATTTGTAAGCAGGATTGAAGCATTTACCTTTTTCTACCTATCTGATCCCTCTAGGATTTGAAAACTCTTGATGAGTGAGTATTCTTATATTGATGGCAATATACTTATTTGCATAAATTCAATAAGAATCTGTTCTCCTTATAGCAGGGCACAATTGGAGATACTAGTTATATTACCAAGGCTTTGACTAGAATGTCATACTTGATAAAAATATACATAAACTCATATATGAAACGACAGCTAAGGGACAAAGGTTGACTTTATGTAATAAAGCCACTTGGAAATATTGGCCTGGTACCTTGCTTACAGGGTTCCCAGCAACTTTACCAGGTGAGTAAAGAAGGTAACTTCCCTGGCAGGTGCAGGAACCCCAGGATATTTTGGGGACCTCGAGATGAGAGGGATTCACCCAAATATGTAGGTATTACAGGGGGAACCTGATGACAAATCATTGGCTTGGCTTTCCTGGCCTTGAGAGGCCTTTACGCTTCAATCCGAGATTTCTTATAAAATGTTCCATCAAAGCAGATTTTAAAAAGCCTATATAATCAATTGCTATTCTTGCTGTACTTATGTAAATAATGGGGCCAAGTTTATTAAAACTAAATATTTTGCAAACCAATGAGTCTTGATTTGGCTATCTTTGGTAAAATAAGGGTAATTTTAGAGAAAAAAATTGTTTCAATAGAAACTATAACACAGGGGCCGGCCCCCTGGCTTAGCGGTTAAATGTGTGCACTCTGCTACCGGCAGCCCGGGTTCGGATCCGGGCGCACACCAACGCACTGCTTCACTGGCCATGCTGAGGCCATGTCCCACATACAGCAACTAGAAGGATGTGCAACTATGACATACAACTATCTACTGGGGCTTTGTGGGAAAAAAATGGAGGAGGATTGGCAATAGATGTTAGCTCAGAGCGGGTCTTCCTCAGCAAAAAGAGAGGAGGATTAGCATGGATATTAGATCAGGGCTGATCTTCCTCACACACACAAAAAATGAAACTATAACACACACTTGTGTATGTTGGATCTTGGTCCCGTTAATTGTCTTTGAAGTTTTTGTTCTCTACCTGTAAACTGGACTGGATCCTGCATTCTTCTAGTCTCCTGAAATATCTGGCTAGAAATATCCAAACTAATCTTTTCAATTTTTTTCCATCATTTTCATTTGGAATCATTGAGAACTGAAACCACCCTTGTTCCTGAAGCCCTGCAAACTGAAGTTGGACAACTTGATGTATGTAAGCCACTCAAAGGGTACCTAAACACCCAATGACATCATCAGAGCTTCCTGATTTGGGGGTTCAGGGGTGACCTGGTGGGAAAAAGTTACTGATAATTCTTTTTGTTTGTTTGTTTGTTTGTTGCAGTAACATTGGTGCATAACATTGTATAAATTTCAGGTGTACATCATTATACTTCTATTTCTGCATGGATTACAGCATGTTCTCATGTTCACCACCCAAATACTAATTACAATCCATCCCCACACACATGTGCCTAATTATCCCTGTTGCCGTGCTCCCTCCTCTCTTCCCCTCTGGTAACCACCAATCCAATCTCTGTCTCTATCTGTTTGTTTGTTGTTGTTATTACCTACTACTTAATGAATGAGATCATATGATATTTGAGCTTCTCCTTCTGACTTATTTCACTTTGCATAATACCCTTAATGTCCATCCAAGTTGTCACAAATGGCTGGGTTTCATCATTTCTTATGGCTGAGTAGTATTCCATTGTGTATATATACCACATCTTCTTTATCCATTCGTCCCTTGATGGGCACTTAGGTTGCTTCCAACTCAAAATGGATTAAAGACTTTAATGTAATACCTGAAACCATGAAACTTCTAGAAGAAAACATAGGCAGTATGCTCTTTGACATTTGTCTTAGCAACATATTTTCAAAAACCATGTCTGACTGGGCAAGAGAAACAATAGAAAAAATAAACAGATGGGACTACATCAAACTAAAAAGCTTCTGCACAGCAAAGGAAACCATCAACAAAACAAAAAGACAATCTAACAATTGAGAGAAGATATTTGCAACCCATACATCTTACAAGGGGTTAATCTCCAAAATATATAAAGAACTCATGCATCTCTAAAACAAAAAAACTGACAACCCAATTAAAAAATGGGCAAAAGACCTGAACAGACATTTATCCAAGGAAGATATACAGATGGCCAACAGGCACATGAAAAGATGTTCAAAATCATTAACTATCAGGGAAATGCAAATCAAAACTTCAATGAGATATCACCTCACGCCATTCGTGCCCGTCAGAATGGCTATAATTAACAAGACAGGAAACAACATGTGTTGGAGAGGATGTGGAGAGAAGGGAACTCTCATACACTGCTGGTGGGATTGCAAACTGGTGCAGCCACTGTGGAAAATCGTATGGAGATTCCTCAAAAAATTAAGGCTAGAACTACCATATGATCCAGCTATTCCACTGCTGGGTATTTATCCTAAGAACATGAAAACACCAATGCGTAAAGATACACGCACCCCTGTGTTCATTGCAGCGTTATTCACAATAGCCAACACCTGATAATTCTAATTACTATAATCTTTGCTGGTATTTGCCTCTGTTGTGATGTCTATTGTTGTTGTAACTTAATATACATAAACTCACAAGAGAGGTTACTACAACGGCTTTTAAAACCCCTACTGAAAAAACACTAAAAGTCATTTTACCACACAGGTCAAGTTTTTCCGTTCTATGGCCCCCTTATGACGTCCCCATTCAGCAGGAAGTAGCCATATTTGAGACAAGGCCCTTAGTCCCACGAGATTGTGGAATGAACAAATGGCAGTGGGGGATTGAAACTGAGAACTAAGGAGTTAAAAAATCTTCCCTAGAGCAAAAACTTTAAGATAAGCTTTGCTAACTGCAGCTGTGCACATTCAACATAATCAACTATTGTTCAAAACTAACCAGGTCTCTCTGTCCCTCCTTAGTATAAGAGTGAGCTGTCTTTCCCAGAAAATCAAGGTCCAGACATCAAGATTCAGTCTTCAAGGCCAAATTCAGGCTGATGGGAAGGCACCAACCAGCAAGGCCACATGCTCCCCCTCCTCTATGTAAAACCCCAGCACATTCTCTCTCTCCACTACCTAAAACCCCAGATAAAAATCCCTACAGTTTTCCCTTCAGGGAGGTGGATCCAAGTTCTAACTCCCATCTCCTCATCTGTCTGCCTTTCGATAATAGTAAACCTCTTTCCTTGCCACAAGCCTGGTGTTTCCGTTTTTTTATTTTCAGTTATTGGCCCTACTGTGTGACAGGTAAATGAACCTGTGTTTGTGTTCGGTAACAAGGGCACAGTCTTGACAAGATTGCCCTCACTTTAGATGCGAGCTGCAAGTTTGGTGGTCCTCAAGCCACCTGCACTTCTGACAAACTGGCTACAAATTCAGGGATTCCCACTACCTTTCACATTTGATAATACACTAGAATGACTCATAGAACTCAGGAGGCTTTTATACTTATGATTACAGTTTTATTGTACAGAATACACATGAGGACAAGTCAAAGGAAGAGGCAAATAGGGTGAGGTCTTGGAGGGTCTCAAATTCATATCTACTGTGTCTTCTCCCCATGGAATCAGGGCATGTCATCCTCTCAGCACACATATGTGTTCACCAACCAGGAAGCTTACTGGAGCCCAGTGTCCAGAGTTTTTGCTGGGGTCTCATTACATAGGCATGATTGATTGGATCATTGGCTACGTGACTGAACTCAATATCCAGCCCCCTTCCCCTCCCTGGAGGTCAGAATGATATCCCCTGGCTCAAAGCCCCAATCCTCTAATCACATGGTTGTTCTGATCACATGATTGGCCCCCATCCTGAGCCATCTCCTTAGCATAAACCCAGGTGTGGTCCAAGGACCCACCATGAATCACAGGGACACTTCTGTCACTCAGGAAATTCCAAGGGTTTAAAAGTTCCCTCCCAGGAACTATGGGAACAAAGGCCAAATTCTTTGTTATATGACAGTCCCCATTTGCACATTCATTTTAATATTCTTGATCTATAAACTTGTCTTTTTTGGATTGTCCTTTTAACTGGTTACAACATCTGCTGGGTTCCTTTGTTTTGAGTCTTAAAGCTTAGGTATCTGTAGCAGGAGGACTGTTGGAAATTATCTTGGACCACCCCCTCATTTTGTAGTCAAGAACTGCATGCTCAGAGATAAGTGAAGTGCCCTTCAGCCTCACAGTCAGGTGGGGCTGGCCTGGGATTGGGGTTTCTGCTTCCAGGCTCAGGTTCTAAGTTGTGTTTGTACAGGAGGAAAAATAATTTTCCCTCTACCTTTCTAGTTCTTGGCTGAGACCCCCTCTAACAAAAGACAAATTAACAGGAGAAAAACAAACAGAAGTTTAATAACATGCATACCTCCTGTACACATGGGAGAGACCCAGGAAAACTGAGGAACTCCCTGAATGGCCCAAGCCACCACCTTAAATACCATCTCCAGCTTAAGACAAAAGATGTTGGGCAGTGGGAGCCAGTTATGGGAGGTGACCAGGCAAAGCAAAGTAAACAATGGTAAGGTCACTACACAGATTTAAGTCCTGCCTTCTCCATTAATGAGAATTTCTAGAGATTTAGACTCATCCTTCTCTTCCTGGTACAGACAAGGAGACACCCTTACAAGTGGAGATTTCCCCCATACAGTTAAATGTCCCTCACAAAAGGGTAACTTCTACTTGGTTTTCAGAGATTCTCCTATGTCTGCTGTTTCCTAAAAATAATCAGCTCAAAACAATCCTAATGTCCAAGAGGCACATTTTGGGGTGGCATACTCTGCCCCCCTTCATGTTCTTCACCACCAGGTTTACCACACAGCCAGACCCTTTATTCACCTTCCCCCCTTCCCTGAGCATGCTTGGCTCCCCATAAAGGCCACCCAAGCTCTTATTTACTCATTAGGAATTCCCTGCTTTTCCTGACTCTTCCTTTAGATCAAGAACCCAGTGGGGGTGAGTGTGGGCCCTTGTCCCACTTTGCATCTACATTACCTAAGACTATACCACTGGCATATGGAATGTGCTCAATAGAAAACTGTTTATAAATATATAAATGATACATAAAACCTATGTACATAAATGAACAATAGCAAGTAATGATGATTAACATTTATGAGACATTGGCTATATGCCTGCAAATTACTTTTCTTGCAGTACCACATGTAAAACTCACAGCAACTCCACATATTAGGTACCATTATTATTATTGCTACTTTACAGATGAGAAAACTAAGGCTCACAGAGGTTGAAAAACTTACCCAAAATCAACCAGATAGAAGGTGATAGAAGCTAGTCTGTTTGTTTCCCAATACGGGGGATCAGAATTTACCACCCCAAAATGTGTCT